ATCTATAGTACATAGGGGTGCCATTTCTTTTTTTTAATAGTATTGCTAACAACTACTGTACATGCTGATTACAGGTTTCTTACATTTTTGTAAAATACAAAATCAAAGAATTTCAACTTTAGTTTTTATGATTATTGCATTATAAAGTTGTTATGCTGCACAGAGACATTTCTGAGTTCTCTCTAGTTATAGATGTGGTTGTGCTGTTTCCATAGAGGTGCAGAACTTTATACTGCAGTGAAAAATGTGACAGGAACAAAAAAACACTGTTGAGGTGCAAAGAGTTAAAGTGGTTTAAGTTGTGGCAGAGCAGCTACTGAATGACTGGAAATGAGCAATAATGGGTTTTTTCTCTTTCTTTTAAGTGTGTCATAGATACATGAGGGGCTGCAGGGTGGAGCAGTTGGTAGCACTGTTGCCTCGCAGCAAGAAGGTTGCCGGTTCGCGTCCCGGTGGGGGCACCGGAATCTTTCTGCGTGGAGTTTGCATGTTCTCCACGTGCAGCGTGGGTTCTCTCTGGGTTCTCCGGCTTCCTCCCACACAGTCCAAAAACATGTTGAGGTTAATTGGTGATTCTAAATTGTCCGTCGGTGTGCTTGGCTGTCTGTCTCTAAGTGTAGCCCTGTGATAGACTGGTGACCTGTCCAGGGTGTCCCCCGCCTTCACCCTAAGTCGGCTGGGATAGGCTCCAACCCCCATGACCCTAGTGAGGATTAAGCGGTGTATAGATAATGGATGGATAGATACATGAAAGGATAGGCAAGACAGGTAATAATAAATAAAAAGACAGAAATCCAGAGTACTCAGACTTTCAAACAAGGTGCTCTTTGGTAGAGAACACAGAACTTCAGAAACAGATCCAAGACAATCTTCTGACAAAACGAGTTAAAAAGCCTTCACATGGATCTTATGATATAAATCTAAAAACATAACCAGTATGTTTGTACATGTGAAACAATCCACACACATCAACACAAACAGCCTGTTTTAAGGTTGAGTGCATTTTCCTCCAATAGTGAACCAAAAACATGAAGAACTTCTATTGTGGCGACTTTTGGAAAACTCCAGCTGTTGTAGATCAGTGAAAACATTTTTTCTTCCTGTGTGTGAGTCAGTATATAATGTTAAAACACATCGATCGAGTTGCTTCTTTTCCACATTTTTCGCATCAGAGGAATCCCAAACAGATCTGTTCTGGCATTTTCTGATGAACGGTTACTAATATTTAAAAGGTCAGTTTTCACACTCGTATTCGCAGGAGAACCGCTCGGACAAACCGATCGATTAGTGTTCTTCTTCCAGTTCCTTTTCTCTCCCTGATCACGCCGTTGTTTCTCCGACTCTGACTCGTGCGTACAATAAACAGGGATCCCTGATTGTGGGGGGTTCTGAGAGGATTTGCACAAGATGCCGTCTAATCCGCTGTCTCCCCGGAGAGATTAGCTCTGTCACCGGGGCTGAGAATTAAACCACGACTGGTGCTGGAGATACTACAAAGCTGAAGCCGGACCAGAGGGGTGGAGGCCGCACGTTTGATGTAACTTCGGTTAACTGAAAAAAAAAATTGAATTACAGCTTTGGAGAGGATTTCTGAGGCTAGTTAGTTATGTGAAACTACTGTGTATGGAGGGATTACAGGGGAAAAATGAGCAGGGGATCAGTTTTGTCTCCCTCATGTTTGACATACCTGTTTGCAACATCTAAATAATTGAATCTGACAAGTTCAATTTAAGGATAAACAAGTCTATTTAACTTCTTTTGAAAGGAAAATTGTGCCACGATGAGATCAAACAACCTGTCAAACTAACGTGTAATTGATGCTCGGTTAAAAGAAACTCTGTTTACTGTGATCATATCTGTGTTCAGATTTTTGCGCACAAGTTGAAACTTCAAAAGAAACCGTGAAGGCAACAAGAGGGCAGACAGAGATAATACAAGGCAACAATTAGAAAATACTGCTCATGACATGAACCTAGGAGCAGAGCTTTGTAGTGAGTCTGTTGTGTTTGGATTTAATGTGCACATAAGTTTTAAAAAAAAAGCTACAAAAGTCTTAAAATCAGCAGAAATTTGGGAGAAAGTGTGTCACAGAGGAGTGTACAATGTTCAGTTCAGAGGCACCAATCTCTTTCTGTGACTCCTTCTGCCCACACTTTTTTGGTTATGTTCATGTTTTGGTGCCGTTTCTAAGTAGAAGCTGCTTCCTGTCGCAGAGCCAGCGACTGAGTCAAGGTCCGTTCCCGCTCCGGGCAAAACAGGTTCACCCTCACACTTTCCATCCGTCTGGCCATGAATGATTCACACTGTCCTGCTGCTCTATTTAGGATGGCAGCGGAGCGTGTACGGCGGAGAGGCTGCAGAGTAGAAATGAGAGTGAAGCAGTAAAAGCGCAGTGAGTTTAAAAAGAGGAGCAGCCGAAGCACTGATTAATATTCTGTCCTCTGACTTGCTGTTGTTCTTCACTGAGGAAAAATCCAGTTAAATTCAAATGTAGTGAGGTAGTTATCCCTCAAGTGACCGTCTGAGGAAACACAAACAGTTCATGCACACACATAAAACCGTCAAAACTATCTAAAAATATAGAATGTGATCATGTGAAGAACAAGACTAACGATTTAAGGGTTTAACATTCATAAAAGCAAATGGCAGAAGTGTATTTATCAAACTATACACAACTCCTTCAAACTCTAAACTACCTTCTGCTCCTTTTGTGCCCAAATGTGCATTTTATAAATAAAAAAGTTTTGAATATGAATCATAATTTTAACAATTTTTATTTGTTTATTTTTTTAAACAGATGTTTAATTTTGTAAAATCACACATAAATTCACAGAAAGGGTACAAATGTACACATTAACCATAAAAAACAACAACAACAAAGAAACAGAACAAAACTGTGAATAATATCAGCAGCAAAAATCTGTATTTTTATAAATTTGTTCTTTTGCAATATCTGACTGCAAAATTTTACTATATTTAGATCAGCAAAAATAATATTATGTTGTTGTAAAGAATATCAAGAATTGAAAAATAAATACATTTCAATTAATTTCAGGAAATAACAAAATTAGGAAATTCAACAGATTTTCCCAATTTTGTAAAAATTACAGATATCTGGTAAAATCACAGAAACAAATGTGTAGATTTTACACGTTGGCAGTAAAAGAACACAAATAGTAATTTGTTCTTTTAGAATGTTTGACTGTGAAACGACACCGTTCTGCTGATAAGATAAAAAAACTCATTGGGGACCAATCAGAGCAGGAGAAAGGATTCGTCATGAACCAATCAGAGTAGAGACATAGGAGTCATCATAGACCAATCAGACGGGGGTACAGGTGATTCTGCAGTCACATGACGAGGATGTGCTTCAGAAACTAAAGTGATGAGTCTATTTTACAAACTGTACAACGACAAAAATAATAACTATTATAATTATATCCTCACTCTGCTAAAATATTATTATTTTCCAGATGTATTGCTCCCATTTTCACCCTTTTTATTTATTTGTTTTTACTTTTCTGGTGCCTTTGCTGCCAGATTTCAGAATTTATTTTATTTTATTTTTTATTTTTTACTGTATATTTTGTCCTTTGCCTCTTCTGAACATGCATATCTTTACAATAAAAAGCCTGTATGATACTTTTTGGGTTTATCCTTTCCATTAGTATGTAATATTTCTGCTTTTTTGTGAACGTAGAAAGTCTGCACTCCTACAAATTTTACAGAAGCTAAAACAGAGCATCTCAGACAGAGGGTGAGAACAAACAATGCAGCAGTATGAAAAAAATAAAGTGCTTTTTGAACATTAAGGCACGTGAGCATATTTATGGTAAATTAGAAAATAATAGAAACCTGTAAATGTGGTATGAACATGTCTATGTGCATAATATGGGTTCCATGTTGATCTTATGTCTGAAGAAGCTTCAACATTCTGTAAACGTCAGGCCGCTAGTCTGAGATAAGACTTCGTTCTCATTCTATGCCTGTACGTAGCTGTAATGACAACAAATTAGACTTGACTTGACAGATTCATTAACAGTGGAAGTAAACTTAAGTTGCAGCCCCAGCAACATAATCATTTGCTTCAAATGACTGAAGGATGTTGACTCCTCAGTCAGTAAGAGCACGTTTAATTAAATATGATTGTGACTCATTCAGAAATATTAATATCAGGTTATGCTTCCTAGAAAGGGGTCCAGCTGTAGCTTAACCGATCATCAAAACCTTTAAATAACTGTGCCGGAGCAGCAGTCTGTTCCTGGAAAAAGCTCTGCATTCATAGAGGGGGATTTCTTCCTGCCCCCTCGCTTCCCTCAGCGCTCATCTATCTTGTCGCTGTCTTATGGAGCTGATGTAAGAAAGAGAGTTGATAAAAATGAATGATTTTATTAGTGGGTAAGACTAAGCTGGCGTGCAGAAGGCCTCGTTTTATCCAGGCTTTGCGTGCGACGCCGACTGTAGTATTAGCCGCGGGACAGATTTCCCCGCTGGACGGGCAGATGCTTTCCCCTCACAGTGTTGTGGAAGCGCCATGTGTCAGTGAATCTGAGCCGGGATAAGACGTCTGTCGCACTGAACTCTGAACGGGATCTAAAGCACCCTGGTGCATCGTACAGAAAAGCATCGTCTGTATTCTCAAGTTTCCTGAGCTCAGCGAGGAGCTCAGTCTTCTCTTTGCATTACAACATATAGATGAGATGCAACGTCCTCTTAGTTGTAGTCAAACTGACAAGCAGATGTTGGCCTTTGATACAGGCTATTACCACAACTGTGTGCATGGATCCCACATTAAGTCTGTCACGTGACCTGAATTAGAGTAAACGCTTCCTTATTAGACTGAGCCTGATGGTGGTAATGTTATGTAAGACGTCCACGTAGATTAACGTGGCTCCTCTGGCTTTTTTTCAGCAGCGACAGCCGTGAGTTTTGATAACAAAATCGGTTATGGTTTGTTTGTAGTTTCATGTTTTACATCCTTGTTCTCTTCTCTTTTTCAGACTGCACTGAGGCGACGAGGAAGCAGGGAAACGTTTAAGGACAAGAAATCCACCAGTCAGGTAAAAATATATATATTCAGACACTTTCCTTTGAATTTGGCATCAGGAGATAAGTCTGGTTTTCTATTTGTCGTTGTTGTCAGCCTGTTCATTCTGCACCCCTGCTGTTTTGGCGATAAAAAAAATAAAAAATTGCAAAGTGCAGAGCCCAGCTGTTTTGCCTCTTTCAGCCCTTGGATAATAATTGTCACATTGATTGGATGATGCTGAAATCTCAGTAGGTAAGAGTACTTTAAAAATTGATTGTGACTCTGAGATCAAAAATATTAATATCAAGTTAAGCTTCCTGGAAAGCAGCTTGAAAGGAGACTGATTTGAGTCAATCTAATACACACTATCCCCTCAAATGCTCTGCTTTCCATTTGGTAGAAGAATATTTGCTGTGCTCAGCTCTTTAACCCTCTAAACCCCGGGAAGATGTTCAACATTTTTTGCTCTTGTCGCATTTTTACTCGCTGTGGGCTCATTTTTCACTCTAATATAAAGTCCTGCACCTTGATGGAAACATCATAACCAAGACTACAAGTAGAGGGTCTACTGTACTGCAGATAGTTGATGTTTTATATGATTAATTTGTTTCCATAATTGTCTCCTCTCTGCTCTGTATGAACACAGCCTGCAGTTCGGCTGAAAAGTCCCTGAATTTTTGTCATTTGACTGTTGGTCACTGAGATACTTTTGGCTCCTCAGTTGCACAGAGGAACACAGAATTTCTTGCTTTTTAGAGGCTTTGTTTCCTGCAAGAATTTTATTTCTGGCAAATTTTTAAGTGAGACGTGGAATAAAGTGATTTTAATGAAATATTGAGATTTTCAGCTTAGATTTGGATTTCTGATGAAATGACACATCACAGATGAGTAGTTCTGGGTGCCGTGGACACACAGGTGCAATCAAATAAGTGCTTTGACATTGACTTTTCATTGGATTTTGTTGACAACAACAGAAATATTAGCTTTATCCCTTCAAATTTTTAATTGTTTTCATGCCTTTCATCCTACCAGGAGGACAGTGCAGACCTCAGATGCCAGCTCCAGTTCGCCAAGGAGGAGTCCGGCCTGATGAGGAAAAAGATGGCGAAGCTGGGAAGGGAAAAGGACGAACTGGAGCAGGAGCTGCAGAAGTACAAATCAGTTTACGGGGACGTCGACAGCCCCCTTCCTCTCGCCGAGTGCTCCGGCGGCGGCCCTCATACAACTCGAGAGGCTGAGCTACGACTTCGCCTCAAACTGGTGGAGGAGGAGGCCAACATCCTGGGCAGGAAGATCGTGGAGCTGGAGGTGGAGAACCGCAGCTTACGGGCGGAAAACGAAGACATTCGCTGCCAGTATGAAAGAGACTGCTTTGGGCGGGAACCTTTCTCCAGCATGCCTTCGTCGCCGTACGGTGGTGACGCTCTGGAGTCGGCCAGCGAGCTGCGGCGCCATCTCCAGTTTGTGGAGGAGGAGGCGGAGTTGTTGCGCCGATCCATCTCAGAGATCGAGGACCACAACAGGCAGCTGACTTCTGAGCTCAATCGCTTCAAGTTTGGTCCAAGCAGCAGCTCCGGGCCTGTGGGTGAGGAGGGCAGCGAGGGAGGATTGTTTAAACCAGGCAACGGTGGGGCCGGTAACGGCTCCAGTGGCGGGATGATGATGGAGGAGCTCAAATCAGCCAGGATGCAGATCAACGAGCTCAGTGGGAAGGTGATGAAGCTGCAGTACGAGAACCGTGTCCTAATGTCCAACGTCCAGCGCTGCGACCTGGCTGCACACCTCGGCCTTCGCACCGGCAGCCCTCGAGACAGCGACGCAGAAAGCGACGCTGGCCGGAGGGAAACGGCCGAGGACGAGGAGGCGGGTCGTCTTCTTCTCCTCCAACCCAAGAGGGAAGGCCCCATCGGAGGTGAGAGCGACTCTGAAGACCTCTTTGAGAAAACAGCAACCACCTCAGGGTTCGGAAGCATCAAACCCTCAGACGGCAGCGAGCTCAGTGCCACTGAACTGGCCAATCGCAGGAGGGAAGAGCGGGAGTCGTTCTCCAACGTGAGGCGAGAGGCGGAGCGACTAGGGAAGACGGTGGACCGTCTGATCACGGACACCGACAGCCTGATCTTTGAGGGCAGGCTGTTGGTGACCACCGGAGAGAGTCTCGACCGAGATTCAGCATCAGGATCCAAACCAGACACTCAGGTCCTGGACACCATCAACACTCGCATGAAGGCGTTCCGCACCGAGCTGCACATCTTCGTGGAGAAGCTGGACCATATAGGGGAGGGTCTGAGGGAAAGGACAGACGATCTGTCACCGATGCCAAACCTCACGGAGTCCAGCAGCTTCCTGTCCACCGTCACCTCCATGTCCCGCGACTCTCCCATCGGCACCTTTGGAAGAGACCTGGTGACGGACTTCCAGGTAAGTCCACTGGATAGACCTCCTGTGACCTCTTCTACTCTCTGCATTTGTGCACTTTAAGGTGACATCTTTTGGTACATTTAGATCTTTTCTTTCTGTGGCTGTTTTAATTTAATTTAATTTATTTTAATTTTTTTGCAAAATGGACACTGTCAGTAAGGGAAATGGCCTCTTTGCCGGTTACCTGGGATATGGAAAAGGTCGACACATTAGAGTTTCTGAAGAGCACTGCAAACAAAAGGGCTCTTTTAAAATTTTGCATTTATAAGACTATAGATTAGCAGGAAAGCTTCCTACGTGGTTGCCCAAATAATATCATGTCATGTCTTTGTTACGTTAAAGCAACAGCAGGCATATTTAAATGTAATTGAATTCCAGATGTTCCAGATGTCCAGATAGACATGAGCGAACCCAGTGGCGTATCTCTAAATGCGAGAATTCATTTAGGTTTGAATTAAATGTCCCTAAGTGTGCAGTCATTAGTAAACCATTTAAGGCCAAAATCAACTAAATGAGTCTCAGTCAGCAGTGTGTGCAACAAAAAATCAGCTCTAATTAAAGACAGTGGCAGCGCCGTACATCTTTAGCAAAGGACACACGCTGCACAGCCATGCCCGTCCACGGCTGTTCTCATTAGACTGCAGGCAAGTATGGTTTAAAGGATGGGTTCGAATTTTTTTTCAAATCTATCTTCACGTAGTGCTCTTAAGTATGTTTAGAGAGTTTCCTGTAATCATTCTGTAAGAAACGAGGAAGAAAATCCAGAAACAGTCCTTGTTTTGTGGCGAATAAAAATCTACTTTTTGGCAGAAGTGTGCTGAGTTCACACATCAAAGTGTGTTTACAGGTCACGGAGAGTACGAGCGCCTGTGTAGCCCGAGGCGAGCTGCTCACGGCTACGTTAGCCGCACAAGTGTAACTCACAGGACTCTCTGGAGGTTGTGGATGAGGTAGACGCAGAAAGTAAGAGCTGAATAAAAACAACTATATCTGTGATTCGGCTGCATCAGTTTTGATACCTCTGAGTGGCTCATTATCAGTCAGACAGTGTCACTGAGGTGCAATGCTAAACCACCGGAGTGCTCCTTTAAATTCAGGCAAAGCTGAAGTGAGGTTTTAGTAGTTTGAGTTTGGAAGTAAAACTAAAGATGTTTTGAATTTTTTTTCCAAATGTGGACATTATGTTCAGTTTTGGCCTTTTTTTTTAAACATGTAAACTAATATTTCTTCTAATATACATATATATATTTAGATATCGCCTATAATTTAACAAAATGGGAAAAGTCTCTAAAATAACTTGAAAAAAAATTACCTTTATATACATATAGTTTTATTTAAAAGATTGGCAAATATCTCTAAAATAATGCTATTTTTGCTTATTTAAATACATTATAAATGTATATATATATTGCAGTAAATGTTGCTAATTATTGCTTTTTTTGTGATTTTACAAGTGTAGTTTAACATAACAAGGAAAGTCTGTAAAATAACAACAAATTAATTATAAAAAAAAATACAGTCTAGGTTAAATTTTTTACAATATACGAGCACAATCAATTCACATACAGCAAAAGCAATGAGCCTGTGTGACCCTATTCAACAGTAATCTGCTTTTTCCTGTTTTCCTAAATATCTAATATGCTTTAGTAAATTCAATTCAATTCAATTCAATTCAATTTTATTTGTATAGCGCATATTTACAACAACAAGTCATCTCATAGCGCTAAATGAAACCACAATTAACAGAACTGCTTAGATTCATAAAATGTTTAATTCTTATCATTTTGGTGCCGCTGAGTTTCCTTACCACTGGATAAAATCCCTTTTGTTGGTGTAAAATCTTCCTCTGTGCCTGAAAATCTTTGGTTTATAGTGTTGATTGCACACAGGCATCCATAGCAACACTACATTTTGATCCTCGTCTTTATTAATCGCGAAGCAGACCTAGCTAATCAATAGTCAATAAGGAAAGTGATGCTCGTCATTAATCAGGTTAGATAGATTTGAATTAATCCGAACCTTCCGCCTGAAGAGGAGATGCACACTGAGAGACTCGGTAGACTTGAACCTGTAGCTCCAGCACAGGTTGACACTCAGGTCCTCCCACTCCACCATAAGCCACCCAGCTCTACCACACCGGCACCACCGCCAACCACCACCCTTCCCCAGACCCACCACTGCTGCCGCCACCACCACCATCGCTTCCTGCTGCCGCCGCCTTCACATCTGCATCTCCATGCACATCCTCATAGCCAGCAGCCCTGCCTGCCTGCCTCCCTCTCCCTGCACTCACTGCCTCCCGTCAGCCGGGGCCGAACGGAGGCTGCCTGGCTTTAAAGAGGCTGCTTGAAAGGGTGCTTGGTGTGAATGGAGTGAGCGCTGAAGGAGTTGTAGCAGCTTCTTCCATTTGGCTCGACTTTCTCGACTCTGTGAATTGTTGCATGATGGAGATTTTTTTAGTAAGTATTCCTCTCTCTGCAGCTCCGCTACACCATGCTGTCATCCCCGTGACTCATTACGACACATAAATGGTGTAGCTGCTAATGTTTGCACAACATGCCATCACACACACACACACACACACACACACGTGGGATTGGTTACTCCACGGTGTTGCCAAGGAGACGAACCATAAAAATGTGACTAAAATAACCTGTGTTGAACAAAAACAAAGTTGCATGGCGCCGTGGAAGAAGCTCGCTGGCCGGCATCCTGCTTTCTGTCCTTGTTTTACTGCAGCTTAGTGCAACATGTCAACACACTGTTTACTCTTCCAAAGCAGGTTCATTATCTCTGTGCTGCATGATCAGGCAGACATCTTGAATGTCTTTTCTAATCAGACAGATGGAATAAAGCAAACCCCGTCCAACATTTCTCACTTGAAGAAGCCAGTCTGCTTTGTAGAGATAATAGACCGAGGCCGCCTCCATTCTCATTCTGTCCAATGACTTGTTTCTGCTTTGCTCCTCTTGCCTGTAGGACTCACTGGCTAGTCTGGGTGAAGCTGGGTGGTTTAGTCACAGCTAACTGCTGCACTAACAACTCACACTTGTTTCAAAACTGTAAACTCTTCGTCCGCTGGAGATGAATTAAGTTGGAGAAAGTTTAAAATGTAGCAGACAGCAGAGATCACTGCAGCAGCAAGAAGAAGAGTGTACACTGAATGTATATAAGACGTAATGAGTTTAAAACACACAGAAACACATTCACCAAAGACAAAAAATAGATGTTTTATTGTAGTTTCTGTTGTCTTGAAATCATTTTTTTCTTGCAATTATGACGACTTCTCCTGACTGTGACTGAGCATCTTCTATTATGTAGAGACAAAGTCAGGATTACCACTGTGTTCATGTAAAAAATTCAATCTGGATCTTGTAATTACAAGAACTGTAGCGAGGAATTAGCATGTAAAGAACCTTCAGGCGTTTTTGTTTGTTTTTTTTAAATAAAAGTTTCACTTTTCCATCCCTTTATGGGCTTGTAAAACTTTAATTAATGTCTCTGCGCTTTGTGATTATGAGAAACTATCTTATTATTACAATTATATCTAATTTTCATACCAAGATTTAGATTTTGTCGTTATTGAACTGCCGACGTTTTCTCACAGTTACGACTTCTGCATCTGTACTTCAGATCTTTAACCTCGTCGTTGTCTTGAAATTGTTCCAAATTTGCAATACAACTCGTATGCATTTGCAATAATGACATCTGTGTCTCACAATTATGATTTGCATTCATCTTGAAAGCAAAACAGTAAAAAAACTGAAGATGCAGATTTTTGCGATTAGGACATTTTTACATGTCAACGGCTAGATTTAAGTGCAGTAAGTGTAAAAAGCAGTTACTCCGAATATTAGTGTTGTGTAATTAGTACATTTTTATCCCATATACACCTTGAAATATTTCATTTTAAGATTGAAAAGGGCTAATATTTACATGAAGTCACGTTATCATCGATGTTTTGGTCGTCAAACCTTCAGATCGTGCGTTTAAACTCAACAATACAGATCACGTGTGCGAGTTTATAGTGTCATGAGTCATAATTGCAAGATTTAAATTAAAATAATGAGAAATTTCTTTTTGTCCTTTGGTGAATGCAACACATCTGCTAGCGAGGAATAATCCTGACGACATCAACAACATGTGGGCGCCGCCACGAAGGGAGGCAGCGAGCGTGTTGCTACCTTATAGCTCCACTGATGCCTCCAGTGTATTTTAAATGCTGTATTGTGTGAATAAACAACAACAACAACAACAATGTGCATCATGCAGGCTCAAGATGCACCTTCTCCTTAGCTGAACCGCTTCTACACGGCTGTGCACGGGCATGTGTTGAGAAGCCTTTAGCGTGCTAGCTCTCTCGCTCTGCAGTTTTTTGGTATCTCTCAGCTGTTGGTTTGGACTCATGTATCCCTCATTGCATGCGCTTCATAACAAGTGTTTTGCATTCTTTTCCCCCCTTCTCCCGACTCCCTCTCTTTGTTCCTCTTTGTGTTTCCCGCCAGATGTTTCAGCCCATGATTTTGTTCATCCTCATTCTCGTTCTCTTCTCATCTCTCTCATACGCCGTCATCTTTAAGTTGGTCTTTCTCTTTGCGCTTTTCTTCGTACTCTAGTCCGTTTGTTCTTCTCCACACCGTGTAGTCTGTTAGTTGATTTTTTTCCCCCTCCTTTTTCTGCTTATATTCTTTACCCATTTTCTGTTTTTATTTTTTTTATTTCCCCCCACTCTCCCTCGCCCGCTTTCTTTCCTCGTCCCCCTCCACCACCACCCCCTCACCCCGTTCTGTCTGGTTTTTTGTCCACGATCCACCTCACACATGTTCCCTCCTCCC